GTAGATCACTCTGAGCAGGCCGAACACGATCTCCTTCCTAAGCCCCGGACGCCATTCACTCGCTGAAAAATTCTCAGCGACGTCGCCCTCTATACCGAACACATGGGTACACATCGGAAGTAAGCTCTAGCAATGTCACCGATTAGACCGTGGAAGAAGCATGGCGAAAATTCAGACGCTCACCCACTTGCGTTTTGGGAGCTTCTCTAGATGTATAGTTTTGTAGTTTTGATGAGTCTAGGAATAGAAAAAGTATTTTTGCAAAAGGGAGTTTCACAGCTTGAGCTTGTTGTCCAGTCGGATGTCTCCTTGATGACATCTCAAGTCTCGTTGGAGTGCCTGGGGAGATCAGGGCAAGGAATCTTGGCTTGGGGCCTTCGCCGCAGTCTATGATAGAGACACTTTAGTCCTGAATGAGAGTCAAAAGTGTAGCGTGGTATAAAATAAGGCACTACTTACCCTCCACTATACCGATCGTGCAGAATCAGGCCAGTTTTTCACTTTCCGTCCGAACACAGATTTTGGAAAAGATAGCCTGCAGGAGTAGATTCACTCCTAAACACCGATGCCACACCCGCCTGGCAAAAAGACGAGGGCGCTAGGCGGTTTTGTACCAAGTGGATGCGGTAAGCGTGTTCAGGCAGTCGGTTACCTACGGAGCGAATTTCAAGACAAAGAAAGTTCTTACGTGAACTTCGGAAACTCGGGCAGTGAAGGTTATACTTGTGGGGATTAATTGACCACGCTTAGAATCTTGAATCTTGACCACGCTCAGAATCTTGAAGTGAATTTCAGTACAAAACTCACTCTATATGTAATTAATGTAATAGCGAATTTTTGTCTCATTTACATCTTCTAGGTATTTTTCCAGGAAAAAAATGTTCAGGGCATCTTATGATTGAAATCTGTTGTAGAGATGCAGATTTATGTGATGGAAATCAAACGTGGTCAATGGCTATGTTAAATCGATCAGTCGTCTCCGACTTCAAAATCAGCGCCGATATCGATGCACAAGGGAAACTATTCTTCTTTGTTGGAGCTCCTTATAAGGTACCACCATTCCACTGACTTACAAGTGAATGAAAACTTATTTGTGAGCTTCAGGAGCTTGTATGGTTTTCTGGTTCGAATCAAGAGCAAGCGTTTACTTTGCCAGTGGATCGACCAATTTTCGTGGTTCTTTGGTACAAAGGGAATAGTTCAGCTTTGAAAAACCGAAGAGGATTCAGTGTAGCGTACTCTACGAGAGGTTTGTTTCATCTATCCTATTTATTCGAATGCATCACTTGCAAACATCCTCCTCATCGCAGTCTTCCTTGTAAGCAGAGAACCTATTAGAACTAGTAAACCTTTCATCTAATCAGTGAATAATCGTTCGAACTATCTGTTGATTTCAGAATCGGAGTACAACAGTTCCCCACATTACCGACGGCGTCTTGCACCCGCTCTGCGGAGAAAACACATCATTGTGATCTTTGGGTTGCTGTTACATTCTGTTATCTTTATCTCCTGTTGAAACTACGTCGCTATAGCCTTCATGAACCATCGCTAGTTGACAAAGCGTTAGTATTGAATATTTTGTTTCTATTTCGCCTTGAGCAATCGTCTTCGAAATAGGGGGTCCAAACTTGCTCTCTTCCAGAGGAGGATTGCGGCGTCATGGCTCGATCAGGTACCACAGACTGTACGCAGATGAGTGAAGAAAAAGGAGCCGGACTAGCTCACAGAAGTGTTGGAGTACAGCTGAAGCGTTCAGAAGTACACCCAGGTAATGCAACTGTATCCCTAGCAGTAGGGCTTTTGAAATGGTGCCGCGGCCATGGGGACAACGTACTTACCGCAAGCTCTCTTTGACAAGCACGTGCAGTTTAACAGTAACATAGCGCTAAAACGCTCCGACCTCCTAAGGTCAAGTCTCAACCTGAACTTAGCCCAGGCCATCCAAGACTGCCATCTTCTTACCCAGCTGCTCAGCGATTAGGTGGTACATCTCCCCACTTTGACTAAGTTCTCAGACAATGTGAAGCCCTTTCTTTCATGCCAGCTTATTTATTTTGCCTAGATATCTTTCCCACTCCACCTCTCCATTCCCCTGAAGTAACACCTGATTGGCGTCATTTTTGCGAATCTGTGCTGCACACGCTGACATCGCCGTGACATACTCTAACCAAATAAGGGTGTAACAGTTTACGTTCCACCCATGTTTAATTTAGTTTTGTTTTACATCAGTTTAGTTTACACTTCCTACCGTTGGTCATGGAGCCGCTAACGCAAGCGCCGCTAACGTCAGGGCACGTCGTACATTGGAGATCATCAGCGAAGGGAAGGAGGCGTATTTGGTCGGTGGAGGAAGGGGACCGTATTTGCTTTTGTGAACAATGTTTTCGAAACGAAGCTGAAGAATCTACCAGTAGATATAGTAGAACGCTGGGAGGAAGGGAGGGGGGGTACCAGGTTGCTCAGTGGGTACTAGTGTATGATATACACATACATGTATGTGTGTGTGGATGTATGTGTTAGCGACCATTAAAAAAAGACTGCAGAGCAGCACCTCAAATGGGCCAGGGTCGTCAAGCCACCACAACCCACAAGGCTTACAAACCACCCATAGCCGTCGTATTTCACTACCGAGGCAAAAAGAACATGATATTTTGTGTCTGCTAATGGGGACGTTGTCACAAGATGTTAAGCCCTAATCAAAATGCGTGGGACTTGAAATAGACAAGATTTAGCCATGGGGTTAAATATGTAAGAGTTAGCTCAAGGAAACTCCTCCGGTTTGCTGAAGGATAGTAGAATTTGTTCTTATTTTTGGCGCAGTTCGGCTTAGTGGAGGCAACATATTGTACTCAGAATTGCAAGGTTTATGTCATCTTGTGAAGAAGTGTAGATTCATGTAACCCATTCGTCTCACTTATTATACCATCTCGTAACTTCTCAGGAGTTTACAGGTCTCACGTAAGTGTAACCTATCAGTAAACTAGCAAAAGGAACTAGCCAAAGTGCAAATGCCCCTTATCCGAGCCGAAAGGCAGTGTCCTTTTGCTTAGCTACAAAAGTGCAGAGACAGATATCAATCTCTTTTTGGTATGAGCCACGCATTGTGCTTCCATTCAGAATCGTAAAATGCGACTGCG